GTGGGGGGGGGGGTCCACAGGGCATCATCCACATTCTTCTTCTCCCTTCATACCTTAACTTGGGATTGTCTTATGTGCAAACACAAACCCAACTACCATCTCTGTGCTGTCACTCCCAGCTCTCTCTTTTTCCTATAGAACCATCTTCTATTCAGACTGACAGCTCAGCCTGTCTTCCATTTCATGGGCTGCTGGCTGTCAGCTCCAGATCAACAAAGCTAAAAGGGAGCTTTGATTCTCCTCCCACAAGTACTTCCATCTCCCTTTTCCTAGTTACTGTGGACACCATCACCATTATGCCAATCACACAGGCTCCTAACCTGCGTGTCATCCTAAATTCAGGCTGCTCTCTAGTCCTCAGATCCAAATTAAGTCTTGAAGATTCTTTCTAACTTCTCTAAGGATGTGGCCTTTTGTATCCCCATCCACAATGCCAAAGGTCTCCTCCACAGTCTCATCATCTCCCTTTTTGACTGCCAGTATTCTTCTCTCTAGTTTTGACAAGCTATAGATGTCCACCTGTAATGCTACTGCAAAGATGATTTCCTTTCACTTTGTCACCCTACTCTGTACTTCATTGGTTCCCCTTCCCTATAACGTCGCATATAATTGCATGTCTTGACTTCCAAAGCTCTTCCCAGCCAATGCCCACCTTATCTCTCACTCAGTATCAAGAGGTCAGCTCTCACCTTCAGTTGGTCTATAAGGCCAGCCTCCATTGCCTGCTTGTTTCATTTCCAAGCAGGCACCTTTGTGCTTTCTCCCAGGCTGCCTTTATGCTTGGAAGAAGCTCTCTGAAAAGGTAACATAAAGAAGAATATATCTAGGTAATTACTGAGGTATTATAAATAGCCATGAAAATTAAACTAAAACATTCAGTTTCTTTGCCAGAGAAGAGGGTTGGTATGTAATGTTTTGGGGTTATTTGTAGGCATACCCTCACAGGGCCCATTTAAAAAGTAATTCTTATCCAGAATAGCCCAGAGTATAGACGGTTAAATTGGCCTTCAGGGGCAAGCCCTTTATCTCTTTGCATGATGTTAAAAGAAGGACACTGTGAGCATTATTGGCCTGCTCCCAACAGCAGCACAAAAGCCGTAAGGCTTCACAGCTTGAAGTGTGTGCATTGACTAAATAGCCACACAGACTTTGGGGGCCATTTGGAAGCAGTTACAGCTGGTGGGGAATGCAGCAGTCTTCACGATGCTAGACATAAGACAAGTATTACTCCAGGACTTCAGTAGCAACCCTGCTTTTTTCTTGCTTCTGCGTTCATTTTGGGATGGCAGTGTTGATCGCTGAAGCACATTATCACTTGGCTTTTTGTGCCCCCGCCTACATTCTCCCCTCTGTGCATGGTTGTGAGAGCTGGGATCAGGCCATGGGCTAGCAGCAGCCCTCCTGGAATGCCTGTGCATGGGGGAGGGTTGAGGGGCAGGCTAGACAGGCTGGTTCAGCAGTGGTGGGCCTTTCACCCCACAATGTGGTTCCCCAGGATGTGTGTGACAGAGGCCCAGTCTGTTGCTCTTCCTGACTTGATGAAGGCCTATCACGTACCTGGAAGTGGGGAGGATTGTGTCCTGTTTAACAGCTACATATTGAAGATGAGTTGATTTCTGTTTCCCATTAATGGTCCACTGGCCACTTCACTCTCCTGTTCCTGCCATATGAGCCTCTTATTTTAAATATGACCTCCTGAATGTGCCTGGGAGAGGAAGCTCTGTGAAAGGAGCATGAGCAATCCAAGAAGTCCCCTGAACTTGAACCTCCCTCCCTCTCCCCTTCCTGTCCACCCCTTGCACTTGCTGTGTTTTGTTGACGGGTCAACCCGTCAAGGCAAGGAGCCCTATAGCAGGTTCTGTGCTGCTGTACAGAGATGCAGAGCTATTTCTACTGAGCTGTGTTAGAGCATGCAAGATCTATTAGTTTCAGCTCAAGAGTATAAAAGAATCTGAGCATTTCTCTGGGGTGGAAGGAATTAGGGCCATGTACAGACAGGGACTCTGCAGGGATAGCAACTAAATCCCCAGAGTGGCTACAAGCTCCGAAGAAAGATTAGACCAAGGTTTAGGTTTGGCCTTGCTTAAGTTAACAGTCATGTTTTCTATTAAGTTCTACTTATAAATAAAGCTTTAATAAATAACAGATGTTTAAATTGATTATCAATTCCTAAATAAGCCAACATGCCAATATGTTATTTATGTCAGTGGCTTTTAACAACCACAAGCCCCTTTTACTGATGTGTTTGTCAATCATGTCTAATATGGGGCACTCCTGTCTTGTTTCATTCTAACAACTTCATTATGGAAATTGTGTATTAGTTCATTATAAATAATTTAGAAATGGGCTCTTAATTGAAAACATGATGAAGTTAGTCACAAAGGCAAACCCAGCAAACGAGGGTGGAGAGTTCAGGGCAGACCTAGCCTGTGTGTAACTGTGTTAGGAGTAGGGTGGGAAAGCCATTTATTTAGAGCAGCGATTCTCAACCCGGGTGCTGTGAGATCCTTTTAAAGGTGCTGAGCAATATTAGCATGGCTAGGTGTGCAAAGACCAGTAAGTTATTTATTCACAAGCTAAATGCAGAGATTTCAAATAGGAATCCATAGGGTAAAAACATTCTGACATGTTGTGACCTTTCTGTGTTCTTTGCAATGGAAGAATTGCTCTATTCTTTTTCCGTAGTCAAAAAAAAGAGTGAAAGCCTAGAGCTGACATTTTCCAAGGGGTTCCTTGAGTCTAATAAAAGGTGGCTGGAAAGCTAAGAGCTAACAAGAGGTGCCTGGAATCTAACAAGGAGCGCCTGGAGTCTAATGAGGGGTGCCTGGAGCCAAAAAAGTTAAATACTGGTTCAGAGGATCCTGCCTTTTTCCTCATGCACTGATGTGCCCAGCACAGTTCTGAGCACTGGCATGGAATACATGAATAATCATCCATTTGTTTGAATTAACTTGTTTTATATAATTCGAACAAATATGCTGTATTGTTACCAGCAGGCATCTCTCATGGGGGCATTTTAAATGAAGACTAGAGGTTTTTTTTTTTTTCTTTTAATATCTGCAATGTTCTAGTTCAAGCAGGGATGACTTCAGGGGAGTCCAACAGCTTGTTCTTTATAAGCAGTCAGCCTGGATGAAGGCAGTGGGCCCTCTTGGCTTTATAATATATGAATTTTTAAAAACTAAAAACACAAGTAAACCAAGTACAGTTGTCCTGCTCCAGCCCCCTACCGTTCGACCTTGCTTTCCTAACAAGCTGCTAGCTAGCCTCCTTCCAGCCAGATCTCCCACAACCCAGAATATTTGGGGTCACTCATGCGGGTGGGATTTGGGGGACTCCTAAAGGCTAGTGAAAAACTGTGTTTCTATGGCTCTGGGAGCTACTGTCAGAGGCTTTCAGCCTTGCCACAGTAGTAGAATAATTTTGTTTTCCCTTATCAGAGCCGGTCAAATGATGGAAAAAGAATCATGAATAATTTATTTGATTAAAAAAAAAGCCCAAATCCATCCCATAAATTATTTGCAGTGAGTAATTCCACCAGCTCTATCCTCGATCTATTGTTTATAGATAGATAAGGAGCTAAAGGGAATGCTGCCAGTTGGTAGCACAGCCTGCTGGTCGGTACTGAGAGCGCAACAGGACCCACCATGTTTTTATGAGACGTATGAGTTCCTGCTCTGGCTTTCCTTTCCCCTTTCTGTTTTTCCATCTATTTTATCATCTTAATTGTTCTCCATACAGAGACAGAGGTCCCACTGTTCTTTGTGTGACATCATCCAGCCCTGAGCCTTCCCTGGCTGTATAAAGCCAGGCCAATTTGTTTTGCTAGGAATAGCACTAAGTTCTTCTTTCTTTCTATCTATCATATTTCTAAGGTGCCTATTACTGGTATCTATGAGCTATATTTTCACACTCTTCGAGGGGTGTGAATCTGTCAACCAGAACAATCGCTCACTAAACGTAAACTGGTGCCATGACTCAGTAACTAATTAACGACTATTAGATAAAGCAATTATCATCACAAACCATCAGCCATTGCAGTCTCACTGCCTCTCTTTGTGTCACAAGCAACACGCCATAAACACAAATATCCATTTATCATTCTCCCTTCCTCCTCACTCTTTTTCCTTTGCTCTCTTCCTCTCTTCCCTTCTTCCCCCTCCCTTTTTTCTTTTCCACTTTCCTCAGAGTCTAGTTCGCTCTCTGCGCTAAATGCTGAAACCTGCATTACATTTGCAGTCTAACATGACAGAACTAATCCCATTAGATTTTTTTACCCTCTCGGCACTTTTAGGAGAACAAAGATAAACAGCAAAGGCTGGGAACCAGGGTGGAATGACTCTTGCTGAGGCCTTCACAGCTCTGGGCAAATTCCTTTGTTGCTGTCTCCAACCAGAATACCAAGCCTGATTTGTCCTGACCTTTTCTTAACCCCTGACCTTTAACCCTCAACATCATGCCGAAGCAGAAAATTCCTTGGCAGTACACGTTGGAGTCAGCACCCCAGGTCCTAGGTCCATGTCTTCACTGCCAACAGTGTATTTTCTTTTCTCAGTGGGTAACTAATGTGGGTTAGCAACCTTGCTGTAAAATCCTAGTGGAGCAAGACGTAGGTCACACTATTACTGCAAGACAAAGCTACTGGGGAGGTCAATTCTAACCCTTCCCAAACTGTGGTTGACCTTGCCTTGCTATACTGCTTCGAAAACTACTGTTGGATGCCCAGGTGACAAACATGTGCGATATGAAAGCCAACATGGACATGTTCTGGGGCCACGTGGCTTAAAAGAAATCATTAAGTGTGCCAGCACTGTAGGGAAAAGTACAGCTTCCCTCCTCATCCTCAGGCCGAAGCATGTCAACACTGAACGACACTTAGTGTATAGCTTTCCTGGATCCAAGTGGGTCAGAGCTCTAGCAGGACTGCATTCGCTGGATCAGAGCCACAGTAGCACAGTGTCAATTTGACTGTTGTACTATTTGGACCAGCACTATGGCAATAACACATGGACCAGACAGATCTGGTTGAAAGACCCAACACCAGCCTTTAACCCCACTTTATCACCGAAAAGGGATTATTGCCTCTTTGTCAGAACCTGGAGTGCCATCTAGCGGCTGCTAAATCTAATGCCATCAGGGTGCTGCAACCACCAAGGAAGGACAGGATTTAGCCAGGTTCCTACGGAAATGGTCCCCTGGAATCCTGACACCCTGCAGGATAAGAACATTTGGGACCAGCGCTAGACGACGAATCACAGGGATGTTTACCCTCTGGAGATCCCAAGCCCTGTGACCCAGGAAAAAGAATGATGCTGGGGCTGTAATGGGATGCAGACACAGGTTCCCTCCAGAGATACCCTCAAGATCTGTCCCAGGTCCAATTACCTCTGAAAAACTCTTACATGATTTCCTACCAGAGAGTTACACTGCCTCCCAACACAGCAGGCAGCCTTAATCCTGGGGCATTCCCCTTTGCACGAGGAAAAGGAGGGAGGAAGGTTAGATACTGAAAGCGGGTGATGGCAGCCTCTGGGATTTTGGCATTGGATCATGTCTAGATGGAGCTGAGGGTCGGTGGAGGACTAAATGGCTTCCTGAGAGACATCCTTTTCCTCCCTCAAGTACTGCAACATGCCCATTTTCTAGGGGCATGTGGTGTGACTGGTAGAAGGCCAGGAGCCAGGGGAGTTCTTGGCTAGAGGTCCAGCGCTTTGGTGGGGCTTTCTGCTTTGATTTGCCAGCAGCTGCCTTTGGTGCTTCCCAGACTGTGCTACCAGTCTTGTGTGTTTTTCCC